TAAAAAATCCAGCAGATTTTGGAATATATGATAAACTCTCAGTTTATTGGATCATTCCAAGCTGAAACCTCTCTCTCAAGATTGGGGAGAGGGAAAGGAGCCAATTTGTGGAATGCTAATTCTCTTGAAGGAAAAGGTGTCAGGTTTATGGGTTTGTCTGTTACAGGTATTGTCCCACCTGCAAAAAACACCAACTTGCCACCAAGAAGCTGGATTTATGGTCACTACCGGAGATTCTGATTATTCACCTCAAGCGTTTCTCTTATACCAAATTATCCCGGGAGAAACTTGATACCCTCGTGGAATTCCCTATCCAGTAAGCCAGGGGACCTAGTCATTAATTTTTGTTACCAGGAGCGAAATGGGTGGTTGCTGTATGTGGCTGTCTTTGGATGGCATAGATCAGGGGTGTCAAACTCGCACTGTCACATGACGTATCACAACTTTTTTCCCCTTCGCTAACCGGGCATGGGCATGGCCAGTGCGTGACGCATCCAGCCTGCAGGCCGTGAGTTTGACACCCCTGGCATAGATCATGGAGAATGCAATCGGGGAACACTCATCCTTTCATCTGAGGAAACAGATGAGTGATAATGTATGGCCTCTGAAATTGTGAAAGCTAATTGAAAGCCTTCATCTTCTACTTTGGAGGTCATCAAAAACTCAGCCTCAGTGAGCCATGGAAATTTGTTGTCAGACACATCTCGCGCTCAAGAGGTGGAAGGCTGCATTAGTGTAAAGTTATTGTGGCAGCTGGGAGCACACATTGAGATAGTAGCAATTCCTTTGTGCACATAAATGACTTTTCTCCAAAGGGATTGCTGTTGGGGTATCTTTACTCAACCGTTGAAAAAAAACAAAGTGGCTTTGTAATTTCTCTCTTACAGGGACCTGGACTTTTCTGATTTCATCATCAAACCCCAGAAAGAAACTGACGCTTCTCTGTACAAATATGACCTCATTGCTGTGTCCAACCACTATGGTGGCCTCCGGGATGGGCATTGTATGTATCCTGAAACTAAAGGAAATAATTTTTTTTTAAGGAGGTGGGGATAAATAAGGGGTCTCAAAGAATAATTGAAGCATAATCCAGTAAAAATATACTGCTCTTAGTAAGGGATATCTGCAAATATTTGAAGGATAGCTATACATAAGAATGTAAGCTACCCAGAGTCGCTTTATCGGTGAGATGGGCAGGATATAAATTTAATAAACAAGCAAACAAGATTTCCCCAGCCTCTCTCTTTCAGAACCTACCAAATTTTGCCTTTAGTTATAGCTTTCAGGTCCATGAACCCATCTGCCAGATTTTTTTGTTTTTATTTTGTCACACTCCTCCTCTCCATCTGGAGGTCACAAGCTGCCTGCCACTCATCTGATGGATGAGGACTGTTTGTCCTTACAGTAGTTGCAAAGTAATAGCTGAAAACTTGCTCCAATTTTTTGCTGGCAATGGTACCAATACTTAACTAACTTTAAGGAAAGAATCTTGTTTTCTCTTCCTCTTTTAGGAAGGAGACTAAGATCACTCTTTTTTTAATTCCTTTGAGCCAGTCTTGATTCCTCACTACTGACTGGACTAGCCCCTGCAGTTTTTTTGGGACAAGATTTTCAGAAGTGCTGTGCCATTGCCTGCTTCCTAGGGCTAAGAGAGAGTGACTGGCCCAAGGTCAGCCAGCTGGCTTTGTGCCTGACGCAGAACTAGACACTGTTCCTACTCTGGTGCCTCAACCACTAGACTGAATTGGCTGTCATTCTCTCTTAGTTCAACATGACTAGAAAGCAAAGACAGTGAAAAAAGAGAAGAGCTTAGCCCAGGGGATATATTCACTGGAACTGTAAAGAAACAGACGTAAAACACAACTGTGCTGAATTCCTTTGTGATAAGACCGCATTTGTTTTCTTGGTGGATAACAAAAGAATACGGAATGATCTGACTCATCTCTTGTACTCTCTAGACACTACTTTTGCCCGGAACAAGGACACTGGGACGTGGTTTTATTTTGATGACAGCAGCGTGTCTGCGGTTTCAAACAACCAGATTGAGGTAAGGCATTTCATATTGGGATGGGCTCGTTTCAGTACTTTGCTGGCAAATGCCTTGCTGCATAATCGAAGCGCTGTTCTCCTTCATACCTTTTGACTACACGAATTGTCAGATCTTGCAACACAATATATTCTTTGAATTGCATTTGTTTTATGGGTAAATTTTGAATGGAACCTTGGAAACTGCATGTTGCCAAGCAGGCTGGGCTTTTTAGTGGGAGCAGATTGAAATAAATTATCTATATATTACTTATTAAGAAATGGGACACGTTCCGGTGTCTCTAAAGCAGTGTTTCTCAACCTTGGTAGCTTGAAGATGGGTGGACTTCGACTCCCAGAATCCCCCAGCCAGCACTGCTGGCTGGGGGATTCTGGGAGCCGAAGTCCACCCATCTTCAAGCTACCAAGGTTGAGAAACACTGCTCTAAAGAGTCACTTCGAACAACTATAGGGGAGAAAGGAGGCTTATTTGCCTCGGATTGCTTCCTTAGTCTTGCCATTGACTTAGGGCACTGTAAGATGAAGGTTTGCTATGTAAGATGTGTGCTGCATCTGCAGTGGGAGTAAAAGTGCAGAATGTGACTCTAGCTTTTTGAGAATGTCTTTTGTTAAAGTTAACTATTTAAACCCAGCTTTTGATGCCTTGGTATTTTTTAAGATACTATCCAGCTAGCATGGTGATTCTTTTATGGGCTGCAGATTCTGGAGGGGTCAGTTTCAGTACATCCTAGTATTAGAGCTGTGGATTAAATTTTAAGACTGAAGAAGTCTACTCTGAGGACATGCTTCAGAATCTTCATTCTTCTCATAGTGGCCAAGCTGGAATAAACAATGACAATGCAAAGCTTTATCTCCTATGATGGCTCTTACATTAAAGCAATGCAAAATTTTATAAACAAATCCAGGTGTTGTTGTTTTTTTGGACCTGTAATCTTTCCACGGCCAGTTTGATATTCCATCAAGTTTGGGGGATTTACGCACATGGGAAACCATTGTCAATTCAATGTTTTCCTTTTCTTCGACCTGGAAGCTGCTTTCCCAAGTGTATCTTCCAGGCTGTGTTGTTGTTTTGTCATTTATTAACTTTCCCCTGTTCTTCTTGCCAGTCCAAAGCTGCCTATGTCCTCTTCTATCAACGCCAGGACAAAATCCGCCACCCAACTCCCCTTGCTGCATCCACAAGTACGTCTGCTTGTGGGAATGAGGAGGACTATGCTGCCTGCTGTGATTCTCACTCTCAAGAGCTAGCAAACCGGGACTTCATGGATGTGGACTGACCTTCACCTTGCTTCCCTTCTCCATTTGCAACAGGCGGAGAGCCATATACGTTCCCTTCCTTGAACTGAAGGGGGCAGCTGGATTTCAGGCCTTGGAATAAGGGCAGGACAGGGATGTATGAGACGAGATAGAGCCCCTTACCAGTACAAGCAGACCTGCCATCTTCCTGTGTCCCAAAATGCAAGGCTCTTTGCTTTGCACAGTTCCCCACTGTGGAGGGGAAGATTGACTACCCTTTAAAAGGCTTGTGCCTTACATCAACATCATAAGATGGCTGGGGGGAACATAGGCTTCCTGGATGGTCTCCTCCATTCCCTTTTTTCTTACATCTCAAAATTGAGATGCTTTTATTAGTGCTAGGTTTCCTATGTGGAAGGAAACTTAAATGTTTTTTTTTTTTGTTCCCCCCCCCCCCCCCCCCCCCCCCCCGCCAAATTTCCCGCAGTATTAGGCCACTCTCTAATCAGGGTATCTGCCCTTGTTTTGCTGCTCCGGACTTCATGTCTTCACCTCCACTTCTCCATTGCTGGTTTCTGTGCTTTGGGAGGAATTTGCAGAGATACTAACTCCTGTGCAGTCTGTGGCTAATTAGGTCACTTCCCTGCTATTGCCCTACGTCTGACATTGGATAGGTCTGGATAAATGGCCCCTCATATTCTTGTCATTTACCTTCCAAGTGCCTCCTTTTACCTTCCCAATTAAGCAATAATTCCAATATTATCCTGCCCATCTTCCAGCATCTGGTAGAAAACTGCAACTCGCATGCATGTTTCTAGATTTGTATTATTCCTCATTTCTGAAGCTTCTCTTCAGTTATTAAGGTGACTGAGCCACTGAGCCCTAAAATCCTACTTTTTATTCTTGCATCCAAACCTGTTTGGGAAGACAGCCATTTTCAGTCTGTACTGTGTTACAGTTCCCTTAAGCCTAAGGACTGTAGGAGAAACTTAAGTACCAGCTCTTGAAGTTTCTTCTCAGTTGGCCTGATATCTACCAGGTGTATCCCCGTTTGAGCAAAACTTGGGACTTCTTCCCTTTACCGAGTCTCTGCTGCCACTGCTGTTGCTACTTCTAGGCTCAGGGATTGCACTAGTTTGTAAATAGGTTTGTGTGCGCAATGCAGTGGATGGAATACAGCAGGAAGCAGTGTTGATCAAGCACAGGACACTCACTGTTGGCAGGAGCACATAGTGCATTTAATTACTTAAAGAGTTTGGAAGATTATTCCTTCACTCAACTCTTTGAGCTTTTATTTCTCTTGAAGTTATCTTGCAGAAGAAAATATTTTTTGGCATGTGTACATAAAGTAACTTCTTTTAAAAGGCATATGGACTCTCTTTTCCCTTGGTATTATCCCTTACAGGATGCACACTCAGAACATTTTTGCCTTGCTTTATTCCCCTTTAGGGGGGGGGCTTTGAACCAAGGTCTGTAAAGATTTGTCTTCTTTCTATTTTGCTTCGGTCAGTACAAACCAAGAACATCCACATCTGATAGCTTCTCAGCTGACATCAGGCAATTGTAGCTCCTAAGAGTTGCAATCTAGATCTCCCTTTTGCTGGAGATACTCTGTAGTGCCCACAAGTTATTTCAGTGCTGTGTTAAATTTAAATGGAGGATCTATTTAGCACCTCTTATAATCTGTCCCTGAACAAATAACAATTGATCAGGAAGAGTTACAGCTACCTTGGTTTATTACCCAGTATTCTGCAATACCATATACATTAAATTTCTACCTGAAGCCTCCAAATACATTTATCACATTTTTTTCCCTCTTGCTGCACATCAGGAAATGGCAGAAGACACTATTCCACACTTCAGCTCTTCACAAGGTTTCTAAAACCGTTTCCTGATCAGACTGCTGATCATTGATTTTCAGCGCTGTCAGTACCTTTTGCCATTTAAATCAAGCACAGCTTCACAACTTCAGCACACCATGCACAATAGGTGGTCCTTGGCCACCAATTTGTAGTGATGAACAGGGTATCTCTGGGCACTGTCATCCCATAGGACTGTATTCCAGAGCGGGCTGATAGAGCTCAATCTGGCCTGGACATCCCGGTCAACTTGAGGTCCTGTGATATCAGCTGTTCCTCAACATCCTGAAGTGCCCAGTGGTGAGAGACCAATTCCAAGGCTTCCCACTCAGCCTGAAAGAAAAGAAAGGGTTTGTTGGTAATTTGTGAATCCATGCTGTAACTCTCAAGAACTATAGTTGCACTACCAACTGCAAGAGTGGCAGAACCGAAGCCCAGGCTTCAAATTAAATGACTTTCACTAGATTTAGTTTTCACATTAAGAAAAAATGCACATCTTGGAAGAATTTTTTAAATAAATAAATAAATAAATGGTGAGTGGGAAGAGTGCCCAATTATCCAGAAAAAAGGGGGAAAAGTTTTAAACTGTAGCATTTGGAAGCATCTGTGTCTATAGTGTGAGTAACACCACCCATTTGCCACCTACTGAAAAGGTGTTTTGTGATAGCCATGCCTGCCTTGGAAGGCATAGTATGAAGACACTTGCTTTCAAAATCCCGTCTGCCCATTTCCTGAAAAAGATTACCTGTTCCTGTTCTATATTAATCCAACATAATTTGTTTTTTTTTACTATAGTTTTGTTTTATATGAAATAAGTTTGTTTTCCCATCCATTTCCTGACAGATCCTTCTGATCTAAAGGAAATTTTGACAATCATAATTAAACTGAAGTTCACACAGTGAGTTGAAAAATCTATGATCCTCTATGACTTTTATAGGTCAATATAGATAATGGTGAGGGATCTTGGGAGTTGCAGTTTGTAATAGCTGGTTCCCTGCACCTGTCTTACGCTTTGCAGTAGAATTATTCAGTAGAATAAAGAACCTTACTTTGAAGGCCTTGTTGGGATCTGGTGGAGCAGGAATATCTGGGCCCATGAACTGAACTTCGAGTAATAGCTGACTTGGCTCTGTAGTGAAAGAAAGGAAGGTAAGTGTGAGTATGTGAGAATGAAAAATGGAAACTAACATCAATACATGCAGCAGACCACATTTTATTAAGTGTAAGGTCTCTACATTATAGAAGAGTTAAGTATTAGGAGAGCACAAGAAGTTGGGGAAACATATAGAAACTATAATTGCATAGCGAGATTTACTCTCTGAAGATGTGTGTACCGTGAATCTGAGACTATAGAATACTAGAAAGGTTTCCCCCACTATAGCAGACTGATACAGCTATCCTTGAAATCATTTCCCTGTAATTATAAAGACAAAACAATTATAAAGCGCACTTTCATAACTAGATAAGATATACTCAAGAAAATTAGACTGAAGATATTACTGAATGCTGGCTGGATATTTTCTTTTGGGGAAAGAATCAGTCAAAAAATCTTGAAATATTGAATCTTGCTTGAAAAGGTAATAGAGACTAGATTGAAAGTTGAAATAAAACTTAGTTCATATGCTGCACCCATAAGATGGTTTATTTAACCCAATTGCTAGATTCACACAACACGCTGAACCCGTAAGGTAATCATGCAAACTAAATTCATACCACAGGCTAAGCTAAAATGTGGTTAGCTAGTTTGTGATTCAATGTATCAAGTGAGCTTTTATTATACCACAAAGGAAGGTGGCAGATGCTGTTCTGCAAATAGGACTTGTAGGAGGCACAGCATCCTATTTCTGTAACCATTTACAAAGTTAGATCTGAAAGCCAGATCTGACAATGTAGTAAGTTGGGAACAATTCAAACTTCATTTAAGGCTACGCTGTCCTCTCTAGCACTCTCAACTCTACTGTTTACAGAATGTTTTCTTCCTGTTTTCAATGCAATCATGAAAGTTGGGAGTTGCAAGCGTTGTATCCTGGTCTCTTTAAAGTTAGCTTGCTCACTTGAAAGGCTACTAAGCCCGCACATGGACCGTCCCTTTGAACAATTTCTCACCAGGGTCCTCTCTCAAAACGTGTTTGTATATTTTGCGGAGTCCAAAGACGTTGAGGAAATACCAGGAGGCTGAACTCACCCTAGGAAAAGAAGAGTTTTCAGTAACTATCCTGAACAGCCTTGCCCACCAGTCCTGTATCAATGACCTCTTCCCATCCTGCCACCCAAAGGACTGGCTAGACCTGGGGCAGATGGTGGCTTACCACGAGGGATCCATGGAAGGCAGGTTAATTCCACGCTGCAACATGGGCTTGAATCGCAGGGTCAAGGGGAAGGGAACCTTAGCTAGAAGGTTGGGAGGGAGAGGGATTAGAGTTGCCTCTCCCTCCAAATTCTACTCTCACCACTCAGTCCCCCACAGCCCAACCTTTCCAAATTGCTGTTCCTTGTTGCTTTAGATATGACACCAGATAAGATGAAAATCTCCACTAAAACTGCTGGACCATCTTAGTCCTTGCTGCTTTGTTTCCCAAGGCATTCCAGACCTGACCATTATGTTGCTACAATGGTAATGCTGCATTCTCTTTCCTGTATTATAAACTAACATGGGGCGGTATATGGCTAACCTAAAATTCAAGGTAGAAGTAAACAAAGTGAAACTCCTGGTTCATGGTTCAGATGCTATAGTAGCAATTCCCAGGCTGTGCCTTTTAGATATGCTGAGCTGGCTTGCTGGCTGAACAGTTATGGGAAATGGGGTCTCAGCATATCTGGAGGGCAGCAAGCAACCAATCGCCTGCATTTCTACATTTGTAACGATATAAAACTAGGTGTACCTCATGGACCAGCTAAACTAAAAACTGTAAATCACATTGTACATTAGCAAAGTTATTGTCACAGTCATCTTGCTCCCCTCATCAGTTTCACTATTTTAATTAAAATGGTTCTGTTTCAATGGTCACTCTTCAAATATTGCAGGCTGTAATAATATAAACTCAATATTCACAAGCCTGAAGGTCATTGGAGACCTTGAATAACAGAAAATATCAAATAAATAGGAAACTAAACACAAAATGCTTTGTCACCTCCCCTCAATGATTCCCTTCCACTCACTAGCCACAAAGCCAGAGAAGGCCCAGTTGATCCAGCCTCCAATGAGAATCATGGGCAGAACATCGATAAGGTTGCCCTTCATCATCTCTGTAACCATTGTGGGATCTAAAGGAAAAGGAAAGGAAGTGTTAAATTAGAGCCCTAACCATGCAGTATAACGTTGAACAGTATAGAAAAACTGCAGAATATTTAAGGCATATTAAAGTGAGCCTCCAAGTCAACTTTCATTCAAGCCTATTTTTAAAGTTATGATCTGCGCTGGCTGCGTTTAGGCAATCCCTACTGTACTTAAATATTATAATACAAGGATGGGGGTGGCAATTTTGAACCATGGTAACCAAGGAAAGTGTTCTGGTGCCCCACAGAGCTCTCTCCTGCTTGGAAGAATCTGATCAAACACAAATGTATTTGGAGAGGTGATTGAGTCTACACTGAAAATTTCTAAAAGCTATATTTATTTTATTTTTATTTTATTTTATATCCAATTTATATACCGCCCTTCTCCCTGAGGACTCAGGGCGGTGTACAGCCGAATAAAAACATAAATTACAAACATTAAAATAGTATTAAAAGAATATATATAAATTTGGCCCCGTAATTTAAGAACAATAACAAACCCATTTAAAACATTTAAAAATTAAGAAAAAAAGTTAAGCCAGCCCGGCTTGCTGAAAAAAAAAGGTTTTAAGGGCACGGCAGAAGGCACTGAGGTCTTGGATTCTCCTTATCTCTGGGGGCAGTTGGTTCCAGAGGGTGGGTGCCCCCACAGAGAAGGCCCTCCCCCTGGGGGTCACCAGCCTACATTGTTTGGCTGATGGCACCCCGAGGAGGCTCTCTCTGTGGGAGTGCACAGGTCGATGGGAGGCCGTCGGTAGCAGCAGGCGGTCTCGAAGATATCTAGGTCCTATGCCATGGAGCGCTTTAAAAGTGATAACCTATATGTCTCTGCCTTAGGAGAAATACACAACCTGGGGCCTCCAGGCCTATTATGAAATGGCTACCAGTTTGGCAATGCCCTCCCTCCTTTTCCAGTTGGTGCTAATGCAAGAAGGCAGTCTGACAAAAATGATCCAAAGAAGCAGCGATCTGCTTACATTCCCAGGCATTTCAGACGGTTCCCCTCCAATAAGATTGATAAGAAGACTAAGGAAAGACGATAAAGATTAGATGAAGGTTAAGGAAACCAGGCTCGATGGCAGAACAATGTAGGGCACGTGCAGGAGGCAGCATAAATTGGCCATGTTTTTTGTATGTACTATACAGAAAAAGTCAGGTTTGAGACTCTGCATCCCAATAAGGCTAAGAAAACCAACTGCTAGAGCTGCCCTTGAAAGCTGCCGTCAGTCAAGATGACAAGACAGAGTGAAAGATGAATTAGAATTGCTCCCTGCTCTGAAATTTGTCTTTTATCAAAACTTCATTTCTTTTTGCAGGGATAATCATGTACCTTAGCCTAGTTTAGTAATATATAATTTAATGTTTATGTTCCAAAGAATGTGTATGACTTGAATATGTATGAGATAAGAGCAAATGGCTTGAGAAGAGGAAGACCATGTTTGTATGGTTGGAGGATGCTCAATTAGATGGAAAAAGAGTGAAATTTTTAAAAAGACAATTACAAAGCAGTGAGGTTATGGTGGAGGCAAGGATACTGAATGGTTTAACATCAGCTAGATTTACCTTCTCTTATGTCTTAGTCCTTTAGCATACTTTTTTGTATTATTTTTCTGTGTTATCTATTGCTGTGCTTCCCTCAAAAGGGAAAGGGTGATGGGTGTATCTATCCAATAGGACCATATAATCCTATCAAGTATGATAAAGGAGACTGCTGTACGATTTCTGTATTAGGAATGGGTGCAGGGAGCAAACTGGAAGCAGAGCAATTTTCCTATTTACCTACTGAATTAAAAGCAAAGGGAAATCTGAACCAACCATTCACCAGATTTCTCATTCTCTAAGTCATGGCAAAATTAGTGATGGAAGGCTAACAGAGAATATATACTCAAATGAATGCCCCTACAAATCATGGAGTGTAATACTTGTGAACTTTCTTGACAGCCTTCTGCCACACACAGAAGCAACACAGAAATATTTTCCATAACGGAATTTACAAAAGATCCTTTAGACAACATTGTTTAATGCACCCCCCCTATGGGGGAGCCTTGGCTGGTTTATGTAACAGTGACAACAGCAAGAAGGGTGGTAATAGAGCTTGTTCTGTAAACTGACAGCTCTATTTTGAGAAAGCTTCAATAATAGCCGTATACATCAGCTGGCTGGGAATTCTGGGAGTGGAAGTCCACATATCTTAAAGTTGCCAATTTCAAGTTGCTAATGTATATCAACACTGATATACATCAGTATTTTCACAGTCAATACTGATGCCAAAACTGAGACTCTTTCTACAGATAACAATCTTTTCAACTAGGGCAGAAAATGGCAAAAACTGGCTTGAGTCCACTTAAGGTCCTACTGCTACCTCCTCTGAGTACAAACCAGTCATACATGTTACCTGTCAGCGGGTTTCGGGACTGCAGTTTGCGTTTAGTTTTGCGAAAGAAGCCATTCTCAGAATTATTGAAGTAATGCTTGCGCATAAGAAAACCCTGGAAAAAATAAAAAAATGACAAAACTTGAGATGAAATTTGGGCTATTCAGAAAAGAAAAATACACACAGTTCATGTTGATAATCTTTAAATTTACCTTTATTTAGAGGTGTTTACAGTACCTCTCTGGCATTCTATTTGAAATCTTCAGCATACCTTCCTTATTGGTAGAGCACTGTTGTAGATTTGCCTTCAACTAGTCTCTTAAAGTTCAATCCTATCCATCTAGATGTAGAAAGCAAGCACACTGACCAGCCAGCTTTAATTCCAGATAAGCACATAAGTTCATAGAGTCTGTAGTGCCATATTATGATGGATGCCATTTTGATTTGGCTCAGGTGGATGGGGGAGATGCATAGGCAGAGGTCAAATAAGGTAGGCTGATTAAAATAATAGTATTACCAGAGCAATTTACAAAACAAGAACAACCTTAAATAAAAGCAGCAAGAAGTCCAACAATTCTAGAATCCTGGAAGACAGTAACAATACTGAAGTTCAATGAAAAAGTCATCCAAAAACAGTCTTGGTCCAGGAATAGTTGTTATCCAAGAGAATCTGAGGTAAGTATCACAAAACAACAGCAACAGCAAAATCCACTTTGGTTATGTTTGTTAGTTCATTTTGTATCCTTAGCAAAGTTTTGGTTTTGATAGGAACAAGCACATGCAGCTTGAAACGCTGGGAGATATCTCCATGCCAAGAAGCTTCTGATGGGTATCTGCCAAAATCAGTCTAAGGAATAGGGGTGTTCAAGAAGAAGCCAACTTCAGTCTCTCACCTGGTGAGTTAGGAACCGTCCATTTTCTCTCAAGAGGCGGCTGCGAGTCAGAATTTGCCTGACAGATAGAGCACTCAGTTCAGTTGTAATATTAATAAAGTTTGTTAGCTCAAGATATTATCTGATCTGCAAATCTAGATCTATCATCAAACCACACTCTGTTCCCTCCACACAATCCACCTGTATACAGTTGTTTAAGGCAGCATTTTAAAGCCACTGATGAAGTAGTCTATGAAATTTAGTCATAATTGGTCCCTTAGAATCCCATGCAATTTTATAGACATTGTAGGAGAAAAGCTTTGTTGGTATCAAAAATGAGAAGTCCTTTTAATAAAATGTGATAGTTTTAAAAGGTGCTACCAGATGCCTTGATTTTTGCAGTATTATGGGAACTGTTGCATGATTCCCACTGTGACTTCCTCCAGTATATTTTTGCAGCTGTTAGTTGACTTGGTTCAAATGTCTTTAACATGACACTGGAAATAGGCAATTAAAAAACAGGGTTGGAATGCAAGTCTTCTTTGCCTCCAGGATTCCTCATGATCAGCAAAATAACTATACTCAAGAAGTATGGTATACTTTACAACAGTTTCGTATAGTTGTCATTATGAAGTCAGCATCCTATGCCTTTATATGGAATATTATTGGAAGCCACTTGGGGAACCATAAAGTTGCATTATGGAGACATGGTATTGTAAGTGATTTAAAAAATACAATGGGATTGCCTTCACAATAGTATATGCTATATAGCTGAAAATATCTACATGTTTCCATGAATGTTTCTGAAACTTTTCAAAATGTTTCAAAAGAAATATCCCCAAATATTTTTATAGGGTGTACAATACTTGCATTTCTTTAAAAAGGGAAGAATACTGAAATAAAAATATGTTCATATTCTTCATTTTCTCTTATATTTAATGCACCAATTATAAATCATTAATAGGATGTGCAAACTTGTATTTTTTTTTCTATATCTGGAATGAGAACTGTTTTTTAAAAAAGAATGAGCATAATGTTCTTGATTGTAGGCTACCTTGATTGTAGCCTGCTGAAAATCCACTTTTCACAAAGACACCATGAAGAAAAAAGTAGTATGCTCTTTAGTGTTTTTGAGGAAGTTTGAAGAAGACAGTTTAAGAAATACAGATTTATGATGTTATCTTGAAGTTTACTATTTGCTTACTCTTAGCTGAGAAACATCAAAAAGAAAAAGGCTGTTGCTCCCTAATGTAAACATTATGGAATTTTTCAGGAAAGGTGAAAAATATCCTTGTTTCAGCCAGATTAAAAGAGGAGGCAGGCTGTGAGTCTGCTCTACTGTTGTATTTATTGCTGCTGGTGGGTATTTTGATTTTATATTATCACTAGATTTATATTAAACTGAGTTAGGCTTTGAGTAAGGAAGTCCTCGATTTACAACCACAACTGAGCCCAAAATTTATGTTGTTAAGCGAGACACTGAATTCTGTCCCCTTTATAACCTTTCTTGCCGTAGCTGTTAAGTCAATCTCTGCAGTTGATAAGTTACTAACCCGGTTGTTAAGTAAATCTGGTTTTCCCATTGACTTGACTAGTCAAAAGGTTGCAAAAGGCAATCACATGACCTTGGGGCACAGCAATGGTCATAAGTATGAACCCAGCCCCAAGCCTCTGGATTTTGATCACATGATCGCGGGAATGCTACCTTGGTTGTAAACAGTGAAAAATGGTCGTAAGTCACTTTTTCAGTGCCTTGTAACTTTGAACAGTCACTAAATGAATTGTTGTAAATCGAGGAGTATCTGTAGTTAACCAGTCTGGGTTCCTATTTTTGGCATACTGGTTGGGGAATTCTGGGACTTGAAGTCCACACGTCTGAAAGTTGCCCAGTTTGAAAAAAAACCGGGCAAGAGAAAAATAGCAACCCCGCCAAGATTTCTCTGCCAATTCTTGGTGGGGTTGCTACTTTTCTCTTGCCCGGTTTTTTTTCCAAATTGGCCAACTTTCAGACGTGTGGACTTCAAGTCCCAGAATTCCCCCGCCAGAATGCCAAAAGTGCGACAGAATTCTCGGACTTTCAACCATTCCAGCGGGCTCGCGCCTCTTGCCTCCCTCCCCGCCCTTTAAAGACCTTCGGAACGTCGGCGCGTCCTTCGCAGCCCTCCCCGCGACTCACGTGTCCTGCCGTTGCTCAGGCCAGGCCGGCTCGCGCTCGCCGCGCAGCAACTTCGCCACGCGCAGGCGCAGAATCCCCACAGCCACCGCGATCCAGGCCACGGGCAGCAAAATCCAGAAGCGAATGGAAGGGTCCAGCCGCAGATCCGGCACCGTCATCGCGAGAGAGAGACCGCGGAATCAAAGAAAGAGCCTCCTTAATCATTGAGCCGAGCCGGGCGGCAACGAGACGAAGGCGGCGGGAGCGCCTACCAACCGGAAGTACAGTTCACTTCCGGTGTCATGTTTATGTACCTTACCGTCTCGAGAGCCCGAATGAAAACTGGAGGGAGACTCGGGTAAAGGAGGAATGGCCGCCCTCACGTTGCTATCAAAAGCGATAGCGATCATTGCGCCCCCCCCGGAAAACATGGCAGCAGGGTAGTTGCCCTTAATTGGTGCCCCCTCTCCCTATTCCCAGCCTCTATTGGAAACTAAACGCCGTCACATCTGGAAGTTCACCAGGTCGGGCGAGGCTGCCCCATAATTAAAACTGGGAAAATAAAACCACTTGACCTCTCCTTAGACGCCGAGCCGAGAGGAACCGTCTCCTGTCTTAGAGCAGGAAAAGAACAGCGTTGCTTTAATTTTTCTGCCCGGGGTAACTCTTGGCCGCCCATTTGGCGGCTTTCACTGGATACATAAAGCTGCTATGGGGCGGGTGGGGGAGGGCAAAAGTTTCTCCCTTCTTCTAGCTCCCTTCCTTTCTGACCTGAATGTGCATTTCTGGGTTTCATGGGCTCACCTGGTTTACGTGGGGTAAATATTCAAATTTAGATAAATTTAGATAAAAACTGTCAGAAGAGTGAAAAAGATGGGGAGAAAAATGAGGTGTATTTGCCCTACAGGGTTTTTGTAGGCAATACAAAATATCTTCTGCAAAAGCAGGTCGGGTGGACTACCTTTTCAAAATCTTTTTTTTTCTTTCCTAGTTATAGATATTATTTTTTCCAATTAACTTTATTATTTTCCACTCCAGGAGCTATTTACTAATATTTTTTGTGGAAGTCTCATGGTGATGCTTAGTGAACAGCAGCTACAAGAGAAGGTGCTTCAGTACGAAGCATTTATCAGTGATGTTTTGCAGAGAGACCTTAAGTGAGTGATTTTAAAAAATACTTTCCAAGTCCTCCTTTTAACTACCTCACTGCAGTTAACCCATCATATGTCATGCTTTCTAGGTCTCTTAGTCATTGATATGGATATTTCAGACATTAATATTTCCCTGCAGGAAAGTGTTGGAGCAGCGAGATGAGATTTATGAAAAGATTGCTCAGTATTTGCAACTCAAGAACATTATTGAACGTTTACAGGTAATTCAAAACTCTTTCCAACTACTTTGGAAATATTTATGAAATATACTGTTTATACTTCTTTGCAACCATGTGATGTAGTACTCTGCTGTAGTAGGCACAGGAGATAAGAATTAAGAGCTGCTGTGCCCCAGGTAAACTGGTTATTTTCTTTTAGGAAACAGGAAGCCAGGAGCTGAAAACTCAAGTGGATCTAGGCTGCAATTTTTATGTCAGTGCAGAAGTGTGAGTAGATTACTGATCTTCCATGTATTCAGTATCATACAACTTTCTAGTCTTTTGTTTTTTTATATGGTCTGCAACTTTTGAGAAATTCAATTAAAAATACTATTTTTATGCCTTTCGTAAGAACCAACTGGTAAAATCTTAAAAATGAAATGAGACAGAGGGCTAGTTAGTCTAATTCTCTCTTGCAAGAGAAGTGACCTTTGTGTAACTACTAGCAGTTAAGTTTGTTGTAGTGGCAGTCAAATCAATTGTGACAGTTTATTCACTGATTATTTAATTTTCTTCATGATTGAGAAGAAGGCTCACTTCTTCAATGACTGCCAATCATACAAATGCTAAAGTCTGAAGGATTTAATGAAGATAAATAGAAATGATAATATTTCTCAAAGTGATTCGATATACAAAGCACTTTGAAATTTATAAGTGATTATTATTGGTGATGATTATTCTTCATAAAACTAATTTGATCTACCTGCGTGTGAGTGATAGGTTTTAAGGATTTCAGCTAATAAAGAGTATCTGGTGGAAGATAAACGAATTGCATGCTGGATTAATATTTATATGGACTGGCATCCCGTTTTTCACAGTGATTCACTATGAAGTCAATGAAAAGAACAAAAACACTATAGCTTCTTGTATTATTCTTCCTTGGCTGATATGATTTTATTTATGACCAAAAGGCCCAAAAGCAAGTTATAAATATAATTAATATGGAATTAGATAAAACAATTTAACAAAGAAAATATTTAATAACTATTACATAATACACTTAAATTCCAACTCATTGTTCATTTAATAACTGTTCAAAATTACAAGGCACTGAAAAAAGTGACTTAGGACCATTTTTCACACTTACAACCTTTGTAGCAGCCCCATGGTCATGTGATCAAAATTCAGATGCTTGGCAACTGGTTCATACTTATGACCGTTGCTCCCAAGATCATGTGATCACCTATTGCAACCTTTTGACAAGCAAAATCAATGGGGAAGCCAGATTCACTTAACAACCATGCTAACTTATCAACTGCAGTGATTGAGTTAACAACTGTGGCAAAGAAGGTCGTAAAATGGGGCAAAACTCATTTAACAAATTTCTCAACACAAATTTTGAGCTTAGTTGTGGTCGTAAGTCAAGGACTATCTGTACTCAGAATATCTTGTCTTGGTTTGTATTTTAAAAGGCCAGGTAACTTCCTGCCATTTTTAAAAATATTTTTTAAATATTCACAATGGAATAGGTATCAGATTTTTATAACTGTCATAATTAATAACCACTGATAGTTTCAGTCTTCAGATTTATCTATTTCTTACTGAAAACTATTTTTCTGTCTTGACTCTCCCACCATTGGATTCCCCTATAGTCTAGTATTATATAACCTGATTTATAATATAACAAGGAATCTATACATCTTCTCATTTTATTTTTATTTTTTCTTAACCTGAAACACTTCTCAAAAGGTTGAAATATATTTCATTAGAAAAAAACCCAGAAAATTAAAATTCTGTTCTTTAAATGTAAGGAAAGAATAGCACAATAGGGTTCCCAAGTTAAAATTTTGAAAGTAATCTCTGCTAAATTCTTATAAATGGTTTCTTTTTTTGGTTAGGCTATCATAGACAGCTGTAAAGGCTGATATTTATTTACAGAGCACCATTTATATACTGTATGCTGTAATTTGGAGGCTAATCCCCAAAGAAAACATCCAGATCTTTTCTAAAGCCATAATTTTCATGTTGTATTGCATGAGAAAGCTCTAAGTGAAGTGTGAAAAATGATTTAATCAAAGATTCTTGTTGGACTAATGGGTAAATCTGCTGAGGAGATTGCCTGCAATTTCTCTGTATGATTTGGACTTTTAGTTCTCCATCCCCTCAATCAGGAAACATGCTCAGAATGATGAGTCATGCACTCAGGCTATTCTTAGTTGTAAAACATTCTGGAGAAAATTCTTTGGACTGCAAAATAAAATGTTTTCAGGTTCAAGGTTTTTAAAAAATACATACTGTACATTTACATTTATTTATTAAATTAATATGCTGCCCATCTTGCTGTCTGAGGCGACTCTACTAGTTTAGGAAGCATTGTTTTTAACAAAGGGTATTAGAAATGAAAAGAAGATGGAACACTGAAAAAAGGCAAAGTCAGAAGAGAGATAAGCAGTGAAAGTCTTGTCTTTCCTCCTGACTCCCCCCACTCCATCTGTCAGAATATGCGTCTGAAGGGAGTTAACTCTCTTAATAAAATTTCCCTATAAATTAAAAATATTAAAATTTCATTTTTCAGCCTGGGAAAATATGATATAAAAATGTTCTCAACTTTTCCCTAAATGTTAGTGCTATGAAATCTATAAATTCATTACAAATGGATGATGATGATTTGTGGATATTTTATCCCCAGGTGAACCCATTCTTGGTTAAGAACGAAAGGCTGTGCATTGAAAGATAATGTGCAGAATGAGAGCCAAATTTAGGCTGCTTTCCCACTAGCTTTGCCCAGTATAAAGACAGGTGGCTGAGTGTGAAGTAACGCTTCTTTCTTTCCCCTTCCTAATAGCAGAGGGCCAAGGATAGTGTGAAGACACAAGTGTAAGCAGAAAGAGATTGTGTTTGCCAAACAGAAACAATGATGAAAAGCTGGCATCCTGTATAAGAATGAAAAATATTTAACAAAGATGGGTAATTGTTGATGAATAAGATAATTTCTCAGGGCTTAAAAATTGATTAATGAGCATAAATTGTCTTTAAAATAAGTTAACTCTATTTCCGAATTTACAAGTAGTCCTTGACTTAACAACAACAATTGGGACAGGAATTTCTATCAGAGCAGATGTTAAAGTGAGTCATCATGTCACCAGACCTGGGTTTACATTTATATTTACCTATTTTAGATAAAAATAAACTACAATTTTAGTTAAGCAAATCCAGCTTCCCCAGTTGACTTTTTTGTCAGAAACCAGCTGGGAAGATTACAGATTGTGATCATGTGACTGGAGGATGCTGTGACAGTCACATGTGAGGACAAATTGTAAATCACTTTTTCCAAGGCTATCATAACTTTGAACCATCATTTAATGATCGGAAGCCAAAGATTACTGTAATTGCTATCTTCAAATATAACCCATACACATGAGCATGTTTCTCTCCTTCCAATGTGGGAAAATGGAGCTGCCCTGGGACGGAGAGAGGAAAGAAAGAAGATGAAAACTGGATAGAGATGAGACAAGGGGAAAAAGTAGCTGGGAAGAACAGAAAAGAAATAAACCCTGTTCAAACATTACAAAGATCCTTCCATTTCCTACCATCCAGTCAGAGCTGAAGAAGCTTCTTGGATGAGAAGTGATATGTCTTCAAAGAAAAACAAGAAAGCCCAGTTGCCTCTTGAAAAAGCACCTCTGGGATTACAAAAAGGGCTAAATTCAGAAGACAGATTGTTATTGCACTCTATTGTACGTCTTGCCTATTTTCAACAGTTTCTTCTTTTATCATCAATGTTGAGGCACCCTTAAAAGATATTGGTGGTTTAATGGACAGCATGGTACTCTCTTTCTATGTCATCCTACAGTGATACAAATGTAATATATTGGAAAGCTAACTTTACATGTATATATGTATGGGGGTAGGGAAGTAGAACAGTTTATAGAAAACAATGTAAAAAGTCAACTTTTTTTTTCACTTTGCTGTCCTCTTAGATCTTTTTACCTCTTATAGGAAAAAAATTAACCCATCCCATCTATTTTGTTACTTTCGGTTATACTGCTGTCACCCAAATATTTCAAAACTGGAAAAAGAAACACTGGATGCACAGCAGGTGGCAGTATTTAGCTGGCTTTGATTAATCAAAAAAATGCTAAATAGAAACAGATCTGGATAGTATTTGGATAGGAGACAACCAGGAAATCCTGGATCTGGAAGTTAGGGAAGCTTGAAAAAAGTCCCAGATAAAGACAGTGGCAAACCATTTCCATTTTGCTTCCACAGAGCTAATATTCATGTAGTTACCAAGAGGTTGATCTCAACTAAAGGAAATCTTAACTGTACATTGTATGCTTTGTTTACTACACTCCATTTTTTTCTTGATTCATTAACTTCAATATATTCTACCTTAACATGGTATATTTTACGTTTCAAATCTTCCTAGTGTCTGCCAGTTTACCTTTCATGAAGAAAATAGGAAGAGATGGCTCATTTTCTCTGAGATATATTTGCAATTTTTTTTAATAATATAAATTGTGATTGGATTTACATAACATGCAACCATGGTTTCCTTAGCCTTTACTAAAGAAATCATAAATAGCTAGATCTGTTCAATTCAAAATGAAACAAACTCATGTAATTTAGCAGAACATATGACCTGAGCTTTTATACTCAGCAGACAGAATCCCAATTGCTATTTCTGTTATCTCTGTGGCTATATTAAATGCCAATTGTACTCAGTTTCCTTTTCCTACCTATAGGCCTGATACATCCACCATATTCATAGCTCTGGGTTATGGGTTCTTTGTGGAGCTGACTCTACCAGAGGCGCTAACCTTCATTGAGAAGAAGACGAAGTTGCTTAATGAGTGAGTAGAAGAATTTAGTCTTTATATTTTCTATTCCCACCTCATTAGTGAAAGAGCAATGCTTTGCTTTGTTGTGTCCTATTTGATAAAACCTAGGCTTAATATCCTTCTCTAGCTGTTCTTTAGTAGCATATTTTCTGGCTGCTATAAGCAGAACAAGCTTCTTGAATGTATGTACCAGATCAGACTAGATTATAGTATAGCCAATTTTTTAAATAAATATTTGATTCAGTAGATCCATGTATTCTTTTAGACCATGTACGTATTACTGACTTAACATGGTTAATAGTCACTCTGGCATAGAAGAATCTGCAGTTTGTATTGCTGTGCATGAGGCTAAGTAATCTGACAGTCATCACAAAAATACATTCGCAGGATTTGGAAAGAATGTCATCTCATATAAATTAATGTAAACTCAGTGCATCTTTATGATATTGGTATAAATTTCATGCAGCTATCTATCATTAGTCATTGCTACAACTTTATAAAGTAGTACTGTATTTATAAAGTGAGGAGATTGAAAGGAGGCTGCAAGTGTATGATTAGAAGCAAGATTGGCTCCTAAACTGGTTTTCAGTGCAGTTTCTGGATCTGGAATTTATGGAGTATAATTTTGCTAATTGGAATATATCCTTAAATACTAGCCATTAGTGGGAATACTTTTTCTAAATTCTTTCCTCCTGTTCAGACCATGCTTCCAGTTAGCTGGCTCACAAAATTAACATATAATAATGCAATTATCCACTGCATTTAGAAAGTGCCTTTCTATAAGCGTAAAGGCAATTTCCAACCACAGATGATGGAAAATAGATCATTTGTGAAATAGGAATGGTAACTGAATGGTAATGATAACCAAACTAAATTAAAACTAAACCACAATTATAATGACTTTTTCGCAGTGTAGAATTGGAAATGGGCAGTGAAGTGACATCAATAACTTCGATACTTTTGAAAATGCAAGGGTCAATTCTGTGGAGGGTAAACCTGAATTGTGGGCAGCTACACTCTACATCATAGCTGGACATGTCCTCTTTTTACTTCGATAGGCTCCAGCAAACTACAAAATATAAAACTATAAAATATAACTATAACTATAGTTTATAAAACTATAAAATATTGAGCCGAGCAAGCATAGATGAAGCCTCTTGTGCAGAAACAAATATGTCCTCCTTTTCTTTTGTGCAGCTTAATCCATGTTTTTATTCAGTGGAGTTTGAACTTTGATGGGTTCATATAGGATTGCATTCTTATTCATATTCAGATAAATTTTCCAGGATATACTATAAAAACAGGTCCTCCCTGTATGCCATATTGTCTTCATCTATGGGCGGTCAAGAGGTGTTACGGTTTACCAGGCCAACCCTCCCTTCTCCATTATCTCCTGTGGATTTTTTCTGTTTTTTAACAGGCTCAGTGAAACGCTTACTAAAGATTCTGCCAGAATAAAAGCCAATATCCGGATGGTTTTAGAGGTAATGGGATGTGGTCAGCAAAATTTTTACTGTTGGGGGAGAAATGGGGGGATGTGGCAGATGGCATTCATTCTTCCGGCAGGCAGATCAAGAAATGATGGGTGGGTTGGAACTAGATTTGAAGAAAAGAGTAATTGCACAGAATTAGCAGGAACTGCTTTTTTCTAGGCTACTGTTCTATGACTGACTTCCCCAAACTGAAATGTTAGCAGATATGATGGATGGCTATTTCCATCTTCCATAAATAGTGTGTGATCATGTACCATACAGGCTGAAGAGGTTAGGTGCTTTGGTCCCACATCAGATCAAGAAAGTTCCTTTATGGGACAAAGAGGATTTTTTTTTCTAATATAGTTTTGTTATAGATCGTGATTATGCTGTAAAAGAAAATAAAAGGAATCAGTAGAGAAACCTGAGTCTCATCTTCCTTTTCTTTCTGAAGGGATTACGTGAACTGCAAGGTTTCAGAGATCTGTCTGAGGAGAACAGAAGCGATGTTTTCCTCTAGGTATCCATCTTCTATGATCCACAGGGAGTAATTTTGGTTTTCTAGAAGAAAAATTGATTGTGGATTTTTTGCTGCAGTAGGGGCTGCATGCATGAGGAAAAACTTGTGAATGAGAGACAGTGACATGAGGTAGTGATGGAGAAGAGCAGCTCCACTTTTAATGAGGGTGTTAGGCTCTTTGAACTTCCTCCCATGTCTAATTCCAATTTTAGTATTTCATTTTGAAAATAATTGTATTAATAAAGATTCTGTATTTGTACTGGACTCGTCTCTTATCTTCCTTCCATTTTCAGTATCTGTTCCATTCAGTTGTGCTTTAATTTATAAGAATAACCTCTGCTTTTACTTGTGCAAAGTTGACATCCTTACACCTTGTTTATTTTATATTTATAACCTTTATTCCTATCAAAATAAATAAAATATAAAGAGTAAAAATAAGATATATTTATATAATTTATAGAAAGATTTCATGAACTTTTTTGATACTTGGCAGAAATGAACAGTCTTGGTATTGCGATTATTTATTGCTTTTTTGATAATGAAATTTTAACAAAGAAGAGAGGACTTCTCTTTCAAAATGTAACTGCCATCAGACACCTCAGTTGTATTCTTTCAAGTTAACATCCTGGACAAAAAACCCTGCAGTGCAATGCCCTTATACAAATCAGTGATACCACTGCATCTGGAATATTGTGAATACTTCTGTTTACCACATTTGATAAAGGATAAATCCAGGCTGGAAGTACAATGCCTCCAAATACCTCTTGCAGAAGAACAGAGTGGAGAAGTGAATGAAGGGTATGTTTCTACCTTCATCTTGCAAACATTCCAAAGATATCTGCCTGGCTACTGGGAGAAACAAAGGAACTGACAAAATTGGCCTTGACCATATCCAGCAGAGCTACTTTTATCTTAATAGGAATTTTTCCTGTCCTGATTATAAAATACCGATTCCCATGTATAAATCAGAAACAGATAATTGGGAGTTGGAGCTGATTTACCTGCTTCTTACTCTAGTGACTCCGTGTCCTTTCACATAACACTCTTCACCTGATTGAGTTAGGCCATTTTCTAGGTGGACTTTCCCCTTCTTTTTATCACAATTTTCATAGCTCAATTTGACCAACATTAAACCATACATTGTTCAAATAGGCTGGGTTACCCAACATGTTTTTTTTTTTTATTATTATTATTATTTAGTTACCCAACATGTTAAGCCACACTCAGAAAACAAAATCTAATACAGTACAATTTATTTCCAAGCTTAACACGTGCATATGCACCTGTTCAGTATTTAGCTGACCTGCTGAAATGTAGTCTCTGAATAAACCCAGTAGATTGATGTAATTCTGCTGCTGAGAGATATTCAAAGTATTGCAATTGTGCAGTGAACCAGGCACAGACCTGGAGCTTGCATGCCTGTTACTGTTAGTTAAAGGTAAGTAAGATGGAGAGCTGTGGATACATGGTGGCTAAGGTGATAGGTGGGTTGGGAGGTATGCATTACTTAAATTCAAGAGAGCCAGTAGGAAGGCCCACTGACCATTTGCATGTGGGCTGCTCAACAAGCTAGATGTTAGCCCTTTCATGTAATCCCTGAAGCACAGCAATGAATACTAGTTCTATATTTAAGGTTACATTAACAGACTCTTGCAAATCTGAAACTATTTCTCTTCTTTGTTTTTACTCTCCGGAAAGCCATGGTCTTGTAAAGCCCCAAAATATACTTGAGTCCCAGAATGCCAAAGAGAGAGACTCAAGACGAGGCTTGGAAAAAGAAGCAGATTTTATTTATGGCCAAAAACAAAATACTGGGTGGGACTGTATCCAGAACATACAGATACAATGCATGTGAGGAGATAGCCACACCTTGGGGAAGGTATGGCGTCCTTTTTATACCCTCAGAGACATCATCTTAGTATCCAATTCTGGCCTCCTAGTTTAGGTTTGGGTATTCCTTGTTGTCCTGCAAAGGAATAGAAGCCTCCCAATTAACATTATCTCTTCCTTGAGCATTCCTTTGTTCTCCCAATTGCTCATTTGGCCCCCTGGCTGCAGGGAACAGATCAAAGGTGTAAATTAGGGCTGAAGTGTAAATTATCTCCTGGATGATGTTTGCAGTTCCAACTGAGATAGGTACCATGCTCTTGGATGGCACGAGAATAAGATTGATTTGGGTTCAGATCAAATGACAGGAACATACGTTTGACAAATACCAGATACATTACAAAGGCCTAATAACAGAATATGTTTGTTACAGGAGATACAAATATAAAGGCATAATGTATGTGATATAAATACAAAGGCATATTTGTGTTACAGCTATAAAGGTACAATATATGTGTGTTATACAAATACAAAGGCTATATATGTATTACAGGAACCTAATGGTTACAGAATAACAAGTTTCTATTAATTCTAGTATACCAGTATATCATATTATAGTATTATTTATTATATCCTTATTACTGTTTCCCTTCAGTCTCTTCTGAAACATTTTCCACACCTCTGCTTCTGTGAACTGAGATACAATTTGCATGATGATTGTCTAATCTGCAGCTTTTCCTTCTGTCTCCCAAGGTGATTCTCATATATCATTACAATGGAAGAAATAAATAGGGGTACTAGCTTAGTTCTACTTCCCTCCTAAGACTCCTGAATTTTTTTTCTTGGCCAAAATCTGGAACAAACAGATCTTGATTTTGCTATCTTGCAATAATAATAGAGCAATAATTTGTTTTGTCTGTGCCTCTATTGTTGACTTTTCAGTTCTTCGTTTAATGGAAAACATGGATTTCCATCAAGCCTATTGCAAAGTCTGATGTTCCTTCTCTGAGCAATCAATGTATATGAGATATGTACAAGGCCCAGAAGACAAACAAAGCCAGAATTCTGGAAGGCTGGAACTGGGAAAGAGAAATGGGAGACTGACAAAATGTATGAGAAAAAAATGCAGATAAGGAGGGAAAGGTAAAAAAGTTTCAGGAGCAACATTCTCATAATGAAGTTACCATGCTTAGGAATCCTGAACAGGGTGCAATAATGCTAATAGTTGGGGAATCAGAATAGAGTCCCAAGTTTGTAAAAGTTGATTAGATGAAAGATTTTTCAAACACAGGTACACACCAAATGATAATTCCCAAGATAGCCACTAGAAGATGATTCTTTAAATGGCAATCCAGAGCCAAAAATGCTGAAATTTGTGATAAATTAGTTTTAGGTTATGCAAAATCTCTCAAATTCAACCATTCTGGATGCAAAATGTCTTTTCAGTGCAACCTTCATATTTGAATGCAAAACACTATTCTGATCATTTTATAAGAATCTGTAACATCCTTGGCTGGATAACCTTTTTAAACCATGACTTTTTCTGAAACGGGATATAAAAACCAATTGATGTGTCATGTTTGCCAGTTTGCATTTGCACGCAAATTTATGTCAATATTTTAATGTTTTTTTTATTTTAACCTAACCCTTCTGGAAATTCTATTGAAGAATGTCTAATACATGCTGTACATATAAATAAAACCAATGGCATTAAACTGCTAAAGTGAAAGCCTGCCTAGATCACTAAGATTTAGGATGCATACTGAATTCAGTGGCATAGCAAAGACAGCAACTTCCTTTAATTTCTATTGAAAAGTAGGATTTTCTGTTTGTTAAATCAGTATGACATTTTAGTTCACTGAACTCTGGTTAAAGCAGTTCAAATATTTTACCTTAATAATCCTGACAAGCACCCCAAAATTTGTTTTATAATCACTGTGCTGTACTGAGGAGCTGCTTCTGTGATAAGTAGCTTCCCTATGACTAATTGCAAAAAATGAACTTATGACCTTGCTGTACCTTCTGATTCAGATGGCATTTGGGGAGAGCAAAAATGTTTTCCCCGTTTTACAAAATGATGCCTCTTAACTGGCCAAAGGTCATCACCCTTCCTTCAATCGATTTCCCAAGCCAGTCTAGGCCTGGGAAACTTTCCTTTAGGAAAGGCATGGAGCCTTTTGAACAATCCTTTCCTTCTGGGGCCAGAGGTTACCATGGCAGCATCTTATTTCTCTCCCACCCACCTTTCTCCCCCCCCCTTGCCTCCGCTGTCATGGTGGCTTTCCGTTGCCGTGGTAACCGCAGGGCAAGTAAGGATCAGGCGAAGGGGGCGAGAAGGTCGTGGGCTGGCTGCCACGAAGGCAAGATCTACCCGCTCGCAAGGTGGGCGGAGGGGGCGGCGGTGTTTGGCTGGAGAAGCGGAGGAGTGGACATCCCGCCCCCCCCCCCCCAGCCTATCTCACGCCTGGGAACTAACTCCAGCCCAGCTTTCTCCAAACAGGTGTCCTCATGGCGTCTGGGAATGGTGGGGATGTTAGTCCTAACACAGCTGAAGGAGTCCCGTCCCTCTCCGCATTTGCAAGAGCCCTGCGGACTTCCTCGTGCAAAAGCAAAGCCTAGATGATGCCCTGGAATCTCTCCTCCCGCAGTTGGCATCCAACAGGTCGAGAACCCGGGAAGCGCAAGGATCCGCTCACTCCATCTTCAACCCTGGAAGTTCTGGCTCCGTCTCCAGCCCGCCGGTCCAGAGCGGTCAGCCCAGCCTGGGATTCTCAGCTCTCCGAAACCGGCGCTTTAGGAAAGGATCCCAGGCGTCCTGGTTTCAATAGATCTCCCGCCTCGGCCTGAGCAGAGAGATCCAGAGCCAGAGATCCAGAAGCGCTCAATTTCACCCGCCTCGCTCCAGCAGGGATCGGGCTCACGCCAGTCTTCCGCGGGGTTCGGACCAAACCCGGGACTCGGCCTGGAGCGCCGTACAACCCCGGGCAGAGAGGAGACGGAACGAGGCGTCCGGGCCGCTGCCGGCTCCGCCTTCTCTCCATGTGACAGGCGCCGTCACCGCTGCATCCCCGGCGCTGCAACCAGCGGCCTGCACGGCTCGTCAGAGGCAGGAAGAAGAGCGGATCCGCCCCCTCTCCCCCTCCCCGCACCTTCTCCCCCATTCACCCTCCCCAGCACATCCCAGAGCACCCACGCCGAGTGGCGAGGCGGTCCGGCGACGTCAAGGTCTTGCGGGGGACACTCGCCGCTTCCCCACGCGAGAGAGCCCGCCTCGCCAAGCCCTCCCGACGGCGATCCATCCCAGCGGAGAGAGCTTCAACTTGAGACCGGTCGGCAACCTCAAGTGGGACCAGCAGAGGTGGTGGGAAAGAGCAACAGGGCCAGCGGACGAACTGAGAAGAAAAGTGGGAACTAGGGGATCAAGACGGGTCGTTCTCGCCTGGGAAACAGCAAGCGGACTGGCAAGCTACCCACCCCCCGGCGGCAGAGCTGGGCCCCCCTACCCAGCCCATGGAGCCGCCGGGATCTGGGTTGGGGGGCGCCGCCATGCTCACTGGTGAGTAGTAGACCATGGAGGGAGAAGGAGAGACCTCTGTCCATGCCTCTTCTCTTAAGTCTAAGACCTTAGAGATCCAGAAGGTAACGATCCCTCCCCCCAGTTGACAGCAGGTTTTGGGCTAGGCAGCCTGGGAAAAGATGGGCACAGCATTTCGGGCAAGTGATACCATCTCCCTCCCACTCCCATGACTGGAAAGTGACAGAAAGAAGGCACACCTGTCCCTCTAATGAGTCTGAAGTCATTTTCAGATTATTGTGAACCCATCCTTGTTAAAATCAGGGAAAAAAGAGAGACAGGATTGATGTGCAAACAGGGTGGAACTGTGTGTATTTATTTTTTGTGTCCCCTTTGCTGGGCATTTGAGATGGGGACTCCTAGCAGCCAAAGAGGAGATTTCTGTCATATGCTTCAGTACCTTAAAATAATTTTGTTTTCACTTGGAAAGGAGAGATGGGGTACCATATCTCTCCTGTTTGTGGCACTTTCATTCCATTGATTTCCTACAAGTCTTACCACTAGCTATTTTTATTAAGATCTCCTGTTCAAATACTACCTGTTATGTGTTTCTTTGTGTGTGTATATATACACACAAACAAGACATGTTTGGACCAAGACATCAAACATAAAATACAATAAAATCCCATGAAGTATAGATTACCAAAATGCTCTTACCATCAAACCCATGTCAATTAGATGTCAAAAATAATTCTGGGCTTTTCCCACCTCTTCTAAGTATTTACTTGTTCCTCCATCTCTTCTGATAAGGCCTGTAGTCTTTCCCAGCTTTCCCTACAGCCTTCACTACATTAACTGCTGGATTACAGCATTTGATGAGATTTTTATGAAATCCAGCCCTAAAATCCTTTCTTTAGGCCAAATCCAGATAGGCATTTAGAAGTGGAGCAGAGGAAGCAGGAGGAGAGGAATGAGTGGGTGAAAAAACCTTTATACTGTGTGACTCTTCTCTCCGACCTGGTGTATACTTTTCCTCCAAAATCAGAAACAACAAACTGGGTATTTTGTGTGCTTCTTGGGAAAATGAAAGAGGTGAACACAAGTTAATTCTTTTTTTAAAAAAAAATATGGATGGTTAGGTCTCTCATTATGATAGTGCATAGAAATCCCATGCATACATATGACAGAGGAAATAGATTACAGTAGCTAAGAAAGGAATGGGGTTTATCTCTGTTGTGGTTCAGGATTTAGGTTTGGTAAGCACCCTGGTAGATTCAGCCTCCTGAAACCTCTTGAAGCATATGTAGTGTGCATTTTGTTCCCCCTGAATACCTCAACTCTTTAGTGTACATTTGGGCTGAAGAATGTCTTTTCAGAACAGAAGCTGCAATTTTGACCTCTGTGTTTCCATTTTAGAAATTAGTGATGGCTGCTTGAGGCGTTAAGGTATGGTAGCATGAATTACAATGGTTTAAAATCTAGCTGATATATATGCAAATGCCATTAAACAGCCACTTACACATTTCTGCTAAGTATCTGTTTCTTACAATGTACCTGTGGCTATATCCTTTGTATATATTCTCTGCATACAGTCTTCTGTTTTCTTTCTCCCTCACACTGTCTTGTTTTGCAACACATTTCCCTTGGTTATGTGTGAATGAGATACAGTGTAGGACAGGAGCATTCAAATGTACTGTAGGATCAACTCATCCTTAATTGTACCTGATGGCTGAAATGGATAGTTATTAGTATGTATTTTTTTAATATCAGAATAAATAACTGACAGAATAAAAGTGATTACAGAACTAAAGACTACAGGAATTAGACAACTGTCTTTTCCTTGCTTGTTTATTCCTTCTAGACATCTATATGGAGTGTCATCACTTCCTTCAAATCCCTTCTTGAAACTTACCCTTTCTGTGAAGCTTTGGCTTAAGCCCTCATTGCATAAACTGGCGCTAAGTCATCTAATTTAGTAATCTTTAAGCATGAATCTTTAGCTCTTCTCGCTTGTTTGTGAAAATTTAGAATTAACTCTTTTTTTAAAAAAAAATGTTGCATTCTAAAGCAAGAATATATAACCAGCAGCCCACAGGTTGTTTAGGCCCTTAATAGTCTTGGATATCCCAGGGATCTTTCCAAAACTTGCTATTAAATTAGAATAATAAATGTGAAGAGGGAAATTTTACTACAGGGAAGTGAATTTTCCTTAATTAAATACATTTTAATTCAGTTTGCATTTATATAAAATGCAAAACAAAAGTTGCTTTTGTCCCTGTTTACACCCATTTTCATCTGTTCACACCTACTTTTTGGGCTCCTAACATGCTTCTCAGAGGTTCGATATGGGCTTCAACAACCCCATTGTAAAAGATGGTGGACCTTGCTATCACATTCTTTTTCTCCTTGGATGTATCAGGTCTTGTTCAGGTGACAATATGTTATTTTAAGCCTTTGCAAAGGGAAAAAAAGGAAAAAAATGCCAAATGCTCTTCAGGAATGACCTGGATCTAAAGTAAAGGATGACTGTGTGTTTGCGGTGTTGAATAGGACTGCTGGCTCTCCATGAATTAATTAATGCTTCAGGGCATTTGGAACAATTCCCATGGCTAATTTTGGGAGGGAGCCTTGTTTGTTTGAGTATTACTCAGGTTCTAGACATTTTGTGAGGTGAAACTGTGTTTTTAACCCATTCTCAGTTGTGTACATATGTTTATGGGTAGTACTGCAACATCTATTATAATAGTTCTTTTGAGGGATGGAATGGTATCTATTCTGTTGTTACTCATTGTTCTATTTTAATAGTTATATCCCAGCACAAGTTGTAGCATTATTTTTAAAGATTGGGATAATCAAGGATTATCTTCATAGTCCTTGATGAAGTAACCTGATGAAATGATACTGCATGCATAATCGATGATAAGAGATTTTTTTTCCCCCGATTATATATGGAAAAAATAATAATAATCAAGGTTTTGCATGAGATGCTTGTATAATTTCCAGTGATAAAGGAACAGCATCACACAAATAATCATTTACAGCTATAGAAGTTATATTTAAAGCCTGCAAGGAGTGACTTCATCGCCATAGCCAGTGCTCTTTGGTCTCACTTTTGGTTATTTGAGTACTGTGTGTGCTATTACATCAATAATCTCCAATCAGTGCTCCCAGAGTTACACATTATCCCAAAAACTAATTCAAAAACTGCTGCTGAACTGTAGGTTTGAGGTGACATACAAGGAAATTAATAAAAACACAGGGAGTAACTGGGTAAATCCCATGCATTTAAAATTTAATTATATGAAAAGAAATATATTTTTGGCTCTGGTTCCACTTCTTTAACTTGGGCCATGCTCATTATTTGAGTACATTTCTCACCCAGCACCCAAAAGTCCTGTGTAGCCCATAGACCAAAGAAAGAATCCATTCTGTTGTTTGAAAACTGATGAAACACCCTCCAGGAAGGTTGAGGACTGCAGTTCTTTTAAGTCTGTGGATCCTGGACAAAAGATTACTGTTATCTCCAGAGTCTCCCTATAAAAATCAAACGTCTTTGAGGAAAGCCATGAAGCAATAGCTTGTTTAAACATTATGTATCAAGACTCTCAAGCAGCCGAAAGAGTTGATGTTCATGGTATTTGTGGAGTGTTTTTTTCCATCCTAGGCTATTCTTCGCTTCCCAGCTCAATAGACTGGGCACAGCCTTACAAAGCACATCTGGAAGTATTCACCAAACTGGTTTTAGCCAAATCAAGTGGTTACACTTTTTAAAAAACTTTTATCTCTTCAGCATGGGTGTGTGAGAGTACATGTGTGAGTGATTGGGGAGGCTAGAATAACTGGTTGCTTTGCAATGAACCCCATCTTCACCCACATCTCCTTGCATGTAGAAAGCAAGTATGTCAAAGAATGATTCAGCTCAATCTTTTCCTTAATACTATTTTTTCTCTATGAATGAAGTTCTCCATCACCCACATCTTCTAGTCAACCTCAGCCATAGCACTCATTACTGGATTCTTCTAATTTGCAAACATTACTTGTTACCTATCAAGGACTGTGCCCTTCAACGAGCTGTATCCCTGAATTGGCTGTCCTTTTGCTCTTCCTTTTTCCCTTTAGTCATGGATCCTTCAGTCACTCTGTGGCAGTTTCTTCTGCAATTGCTGGAACAGCAGAGCAATGGGCATCTGATTGCATGGACATCCAATGATGGGGAGTTCAAGCTGGTGGATGCAGAAGAGGTTGCACGACTCTGGGGCCTGCGGAAGAACAAGACCAACATGAATTATGACAAGCTGAGCCGGGCCCTGCGTTACTACTATGACAAAGTGAGAGACCACTTTGTAAATTCAAGATGAATCTGCCAGTTCCTGCTTTGCTTTCCATTTCAGCCCAGCCTTAATTAAGGAGAGCACAGTGGAAACCTAAAAGAATATTTGGGGTAGATGAACTTTTCTTACAGATCAATAGGGAAGGAGTAAATGATGGAGCACAGGCTTTCTTTTGAGAATCTCTGCAAGAATTAAATGCTAGAATAGAAGTCAATATTTGTCTTCTGAGACACCCAAATTTATTTTCCTCCCCTCCCTTTTTTTTGGGGGGGGGGTATGTGTATGTTCTTATGCTTGCAAAGATAAGCTTGAAGTCATATGAAATCTCTGAAAATTGTTTGTGTCTCGGTAAGAAAAGAGAAATTATTTGTAGGAAAACAAAGTAGATTTAGAAACATCTAGCAACTAACATATACCTGTTTTGTTATATGCATCCCACTTTCCAGAGGAGAGTGACCTGATTTTTTTCCCCCTTGGAAGAAAGCCCATTGAGGTTTATATATATATGAGGCCAAAACCCATTCTCTGTCATTCTGAATGCAGGAAATAAAATACAATAGAAGTCAGAATTCAACTGAAGGTTAGGTAATGCTTCTGAATAGCAAGAGCAGTTTGACAATGGAATTAATACTAACACAGAAGGGTGGTGTTTTCTTGTATTTGTTCCAACGGATGCTAGGCTTTAGTTTGGGATGCTAAATTAGGATTCTTGCATCAAACAGGAGCAAATCCTGATGGCCTCAACTGCTCCTTCCAACTTTGTGAATCTATGGAATATATAAATGGAAAGAAACACCATAAACATCTGGTGGCCCTCAGTTTTTGCTAATCTACCAGTAGCTCTAATTGATATTGCCAGTCATTATCAAATGCTGGAAATTCAGCAATAACTAATATGAGCTACAAGTTCCTTACCCCTTTAACTACCTGATATCAGATTTTATAAAAAGAGATTGGTATCCCGTGTATCTTCATTCTCTGCTTCTGTAAATCTATGCTTACATACTTTAAAGTAAGACTCATTGAACAAGATAATCCCATGGTTACTACATAGTAATCCATCTACGCATTATTATTGTGTGAAGGTTTCAAAACTACTCTCCTTTAACAGATACACACATGTGCACCAGTGGTGGGTTGCTCCCGGTTCGCACAAGTTCGCAAGAACCAGTAGTAAAAATTTGTAATAGTTCGAAGAACCGGTAATAACATTGGCTGGCCACGCCCCCGAACTGGTCTCCGGCCCGGTCGGCGCTCGCTTACCCTGCCCACCTCATCAGAGGCTTTTTTTTTTTTTTTTACTTTTAAAAGCATTTTTTCTACAACCTCTTCGGCCGAAAAAATGCTTTTAAAAATAAAAAAAAAAGCCTCTGATGATCGCCCGGCTCAGCTGGGATCGTCAGAGGCTTTTAAAAGCATTTTTTTCTGCAACTTCTTAAGGTTGTAGAAAAAATGCTTTTAAAAGTTAAAAAAAAAAGTTGGCCATGCCCACCCAGTCACATTACCCCCCACCAAGCCACTCCCACAAAATAAGCCACGCTCATAGAACTGGTAGTAAACATTTTTAGAACCCACCCCTGATGTGCACCTTATCCGTAATTGTCTCAAAAGCCGAATAAAAAACAGTTATGCAAATAACTCATATTTTTTCAAGTCAGAAAGTATCAACTGCAGTCTAGCTCATTTCAGAATATACTATATTTTTAAATTCAAATATCTTTCCAGAAAACGTTATCAATAGAACGTTCTCTTGTGAAAAACATAGCTGTATTACTTTGTCTCTGTTGCACTAATTCAGCCATCCTTTCTGTCCATTCCAGAATATCATCCGTAAAGTCAGTGGTCAGAAATTTGTCTACAAGTTTGTCTCTTACCCGGAACTTTCGAGTATGGAAGGCATGAAGGATGAGGCAGGTACCAAAAAACCTGAGCAGGTCCCAGGTGAGGCCAAAGGGGGTGAAGGAGCATTTGGTACCTCCAAAGCTCCACGAGGAGGCGGAGGTGCCCCACGTAGCAGTCGAAATGAATACATGCGTTCCGGACTGTACTCCACTTTCACCATTCAGTCACTACAGAACCCTTCACCCGTTGGACGGCCCTCACGCCAGGAGGCAGAGGTCTTGCCTATGGTGCCTCCTCTTGCTGCTGCTCCAGAGCCAATGGCCCCCTTTTCCATGGCCCCAGTGGAGGACCTCCCACAACTACATATAAGCATTGAAGAACCAGAGGACTCTCAAGAGTCCCTGCAGGTGAGTCATGAAAAGAGATTTCTAGATTGCTGGAAGGGGAAGACTAGAGCTAGCTTCAGATTTTAAGGGGGGGTTGAATAAGATCTCAGCAGATCACACCCTGGATGGATTTGCTTCATCCTTTGCAGTGTTGTTACTTTTTGTTCCTTTGCTCTCTCTCTCTAAACAGGTCGTCCTCAACTTACGACCTCAATCGAAGTGCCCAAAATTTATGTTGCTAAGTGAGACGTGTTAAGTGAGCTTTGCCCATTTTACAACCTTCCCTGCCACAGTTGTTAAGTGAATCTTTGCAACTGTTAAATTAGTACCACAGTCGTGGAGTGAATCTGGCTTCCCTGTTGACTTCACTTGTCAGGAAGTCGCCAAAGGTAATCACGTGACCATGGGACCCTGCAATCATCATAAATATGAGTCAGTCACCAAGCATCTGAATGTTGATCATGTGACCACGGGGGGATGCTGCAATTGTCAGCATTCCAGAAAAACCCCAACTCCAAGTAAAAACTCTAAAGCAAGCATTTTTCAAAGTTCTATTTACTAGAATAGATAAACTGGCACATCTGGGAAAACCCGAATCTGAGAGGTCCAGGTTTTCCCTCAGTAAATCAAAACCCCCAAAACCATCCCCTCACTCCTCAGTCGATCACATGCTCCAGTCACCATCCATCCCATCTTGAGACATCACTCCTTCTCCAGATGCAGGATCGGCCTGACCTTGACTGACAGGAAGAATGCTATTATGTCTAAAGACAACCCCTCTACTAAATCCCCCCTCCTACTTTCCCACACATGAGAAGGTGGCAGCATGGAAGCCTCCGGCCTAATATGGCTTCCAAAGCTGACAGCAATGGTCGTAAGTGTGGAAAACGGCCATAAATCATTTTTTTCAGTGCCGTTGTGACTTTGAACCAGGGGTGAAATGCTCCCAATTCGGACCGGATCACTCGATCCGGTAGTGATGGCGGCGGGTGGTTTGGAGAACCGGTAGTAAAAATCCCTGCGCCCCCCCACATCCCCAGCTGAGCCACGCAATCATCAGAGGCTGGTTTTTTTACTTTTAAAAGCATTTTTTCTACAACCTCTTCAGCCAAAAAAATGCTTTTAAAAGTAAAAAAAAAAAAAGCCACTGATAATCGTGCGGCTCAGCTGGGATCGTCAGAGGCTTTTAAAAGCATTTTTTCTACAACCTCTTAAGGTTGCAAGAAAAAATGCTTTTAAAAGTAAAAAAAAAAGCCTCTGATAATCGTGCGGCTCAGCTGGGATCGTCGGAGGCTTTTAAAAGCATTTTTTCTACAACCTCTTAAGGTTGCAAGAAAAAATGCTTTTAAAAGTAAAAAAAAAAAGCCTCTGATAATCGTGCGGCTCAGCTGGGATCGTCAGAGGCTTTTTAAAAGCATTTTTTCTACAACACCTCTTAAGGTTGCAAGAAAAAATGCTTTTAAAAGTAAAAAAAAAAAGTTGACCACGCCCACCCAGTCACATTACACACACACACCCCACCACCAAGCCATGCCTACAGAACCGGTAGTAACACATTTTAGATTTCACCCCGGCTTTCAACGGCCACTAAACAAACTGTTGTAAGTCGAGGACTACATGTATTGGATTAAAACACCCAAGGAAATGGCAAAGCAATTAAAAGCTCCTGCCCCCCTTCATCCTTGTGAAGAAAAATACTGATATTTTAGTCAGGGCAGAAAAATGAATAAGGCTAGCAAAGAACAGCAGGAGAAGGAACCAGCTTCTGGAAATGGATATCCATCTCCAGCAGGAAAGAGATTTTATTAGGGCCAGCAATGCTGACTGAACTATATAATGCACACGTTTGACAGTCATGGGAGCCTTGTACATACAGATAGTCTTCGACTTACAACAGTTCATTTAGTGACTGTTTGAAGTTAAAACGGCACTGAAAAAAGTGACTTACGTCCATTTATCATACTTAATGGCCATTGCAGCATCTCCATGTCACGTGATTTACATTCGAATGCTTGACAACCGATTTAACATTTATGATGGTTGAATTGTCCCGGGGTCATGTGATCACCTTTTGCAGCCTTCTGACAAGCAAAGTCAATGGGGAAACTAGATTCACTTATCAACTGGGTTATTAATTTAACAACTGCAGTGATTCACTTAACAAATGTGGCAAGAAAAGTCATAAAATGGTTAAATTCACTTAACAAATTTCTCCGTTAGCAACATAAATTTTAGGCTCAATTGTGGTTGTAAGTCAAGGACTACCTGTATACTATTGGGGTTGGGGTTGCCATTTTGTTTCTGGTTTTATCTTTGTGCCTTTAATTATTATATGTTTGTGACAGCAGGACTAAGCCTGCAAGATGAAAGATTGGCAGTCTCAACGCTTCTCCCCTTCTGGGTCTACACACCCTAGCTCCACCTCCTGCTTTGGTATGCAGTTTGGTAATTCTTGCTGGGAATGCTTTCCCTAACATCTTCTCCACTAATCTTGGCATACAAGCAGGATAAGCTTTTTACCCCTTCTGTCACTTTCTGGTAATTTAAAATGAAGAAAACAGAGAGATAAATAAATAAATAAGATAAATTCTATAGCACCATCTTCTGTCCATGTAGTATTGAGGTTTGTTTGATTATGGAAAATAGCCAATGGCGAAATGTAAAATTTGTTACTACCGATTCTTTGGACGTGGCTTGGTGGTGGTGATGGTAATGTGACTGGGTGGGCATGGCCAACTTTTTTTTTTAACTTTTAAAAGCATTTTTTTGGCCCAAGAGGTTGTAGAAAAAATGCTTTTAAAAGCCCCTGACGATCCCAGCTGAGCCCCGCGATCATCAGAGGCTTTTTTTTTTACTTTTAAAAGCATTTTTTTGGCCCAAGAGGTTATAGAAAAAATGCTTTTAAAAGCCCCTGACGATCCCAGCTGAGCCACGCGATCATCAGAGGCTTTTTTTTTTAACTTTTAAAAGCATTTTTTTGGTTGAAGCGGTTGTAGAAAAAATGCTTTTAAAAGTAAAAAAACAGCCTCTGATGATTGCGCGGCTCAGCTGGGCATGAGGAGGGGGACAGGGATTTTTGCTACCGGTTCTCCGAACCACCCGCCTCCATCACTACCAGATCGGGCGATCTGGTCCGAACCGGGAGCATTTCACCCTTGAAAATAGCCCATTCTTCCCTCTCCCCTTTTGGGGAGCTAGATCAATTTCACAAGAGGCAAATAAAATAAAACCTTATTTAAAAAAAAAAGGGAGAATGTAAAAAATATTTTTGTCTTTAAATAGTCAGAAGCAAAATATTCAAAGGCAAAGCAAATTTTAAAAAAGCTGCTGAATCTCAGATAGCATTTTAAAGGGATCTCCCATAAAAAAATAGAAAGGTTTGGCTAACTAGAGATAATGCTGGCCTGCTCCTATATAGAACCAATTCTATTATAAAGGAGTTCCAGTCTCTCAGAAGACAAAAGACACTGAGTTTGCATTAGACAATACATAACAGAAGTAATAAATTACACTTAAAAAGCAGAGATTCAAAATAGAAGTAATTGCATGCAGTATTTCTAGCTCAACTTGCCTACGATAAGTTCCCTGGAATAATCTAATGACTGAAGCCAGAGTCCCTTTCTCGCTTTGGGCCTTTTCCCAGCTTCATGTAGATTATAATCTTTTTTTCAGAGGTTCAGGAAGGCTCTGTACTGAAACACTGCTTGTTTTTCATTCTCTCAGAGAACTTTGTGTTGTTTTCAGAAGAATAAAAGTTGTTCCACCTGGAGAGGGAGTGGTTCTGGGAATGGCTTCTTTTGTGACATGCTAAAAGCCTCTCTCGTCAGGAAGGTCCTACTTGAGACAGAGACATGGGTATTGCCTGTCCAAGAAGCACTTTTTATTTTTGTGAATGCTGGATGATATCACAGCATTATATCATATAGAACAGGGGTCTCCAACCTTGGCAACTTTAAGACTTGTGGACTTCAGCTCCCAGCATTCTGGGGGTTGAAGTCCACAAGTCTTAAAGTTGCCAAGGTTGGAGACCCCTGATATAGAAAGTGCAGCTCTTTGCTTCACTATAACTCCCTGTCAAAAAGAGAAAAAAATGGTAAATATTTGATTCTCTGGCTGCTCTTTACAGAATAAACACTATCCCAATTTTTTTCAATTTTTTTCTACAGGTTTACTTTTTTAAAAAAATCAAATGTTCCCAAACTACCCGTATCATCTTTGCTTCAGCTTGTATGGCAGTTAGTCCCCTTTCCAAGAGAAAGCTATCCTCCTTTTAGCAATCTGTTGTAATCCTGTCTTTTGAAATATTTTCGACAAGTTTAGCAGTGAATGACTCTTGAAACTGTGACAACTGCAGCTTCTGCTTTTTGCATTTTTGCCCCTTCCTCTGTTGACCACATGGCATATTTCTATGCCAGTTCTTTTGGCTTTCATCCTTCATCCAGGGACAGTTCAAGCACACCCTTATATTGAGCAAAATTGTCAAAATTTTCCAGAAAAAAAGCACCTTTTCTTATATAAAATGCCCCACAATTTGAAGCAATATAATACAGAGTTTTTTCCTATTTGACTTACAATTCTATTTTAGAAAAAGCATGTGCACATATGCTCGTGCGCATATACACACATACACTCCATAATGGGGACAGCATTGGAATGAATAGGCCCTAAATTTATGTATTTCAGAAAGTCAATATTTAATCTTCTTAAGGCAGTGTTTTTCAAACTTTACTACTTTAAGGTGCTGGCTGAGGAATTCTGGGAGTTGGAATTCACACAGCTTAAAGTTGCAAAGTTTGAAAAACACTGTTCTAAAGCTTAACGTTTCTACTTGATAGCTTAAATTGTAATAAAAAAAAATGCACAACTGAAAATTAACATTTTTGTTACTCGATTTCAGTGGCATAATTATGAAAGTTTGACCTCATGTAGTTTGTGGGTTTCCCAGACTTAAAGCTTAAGGCTCTGTAATACATTCCTCCAATAAGAAAAGATTAGAGTTTTGAAAATACCGAAGAGATTTG